CAACCTCTTAAGTTTGTATCCATCATGTTCAAAATGTCTCAATTCAAAATCTTATCTTGCAATTATCAAATAAATTTAGTGCTTTAAGCGTTGGTAAGGATTTTTTATTAATACGATGATGATAAAATAGGAGAAATTTTATTGGAAGGCCTAATTTTTAGTAATTTTATTAATTTAAGGCCTGAATTTTGTACTTTTTTAATAGAAGACTTATATTTTAGGTTATTCTCACTTTAAGGCTTACATTTTAGTTAACTTTCCATTATAAATAATGACCCAACTAACTTTACCTTTTCTTATAAATATGTAAAACAACTATTATGTGAATAAAATTATTATTATTATTGCTATTTTGTAATTTATATTTTGCATACTTATAATAAAAAATAACAAATATCTTTAGTAAAATTATATTAATAAAGATTAATTTTTTAACTTTTCTTTTTGAAAGCAAAAGTTGATACTATGTCATTACTTGTTGAAAATGATATATTTTTGTAGATTGCATTTATATATTATTTTTTAGTTTTGTTACATATTTATATTATTAATAAAAATAATATTTCCATTACATATTTTTTTTAATTCACTTATCATTTTTTTAAATTATTCATGATTAAACTTTTGCATAAATATAATTTATATAGTTTCGCTATATTATTAAGTAAATATTACTAAAGATATTTATTATAAGTATGTACAATATAAACTAAATACAAAATTATTTTTGTTCACATAACTATATTATAAAATAAAGTTAATTGGTTCACATATTTATATCAAAATATAAAGTTAATTGGGTCTTACAATGGAAAGTTAATTAAAAAGTGAGCCTTAAATTGAGAATATCCTAAAATATAGGTCTTCTATTGAAAAAGAATAAAATTCAAGCCTTAAATTGATACAATATCAAAAAGTTGAGCCTTCTAATGAAATTTCCCCGATAAAATAAGAGGGAGAAAATCAAAGCCAGCCGTAGGGTCGGGTCGGGCGAGTCAGTCAGTCGGGACACTCCGGGACCCCTATCACTTCAGGGTCGACCCACTACTATTATTTATTAGTAGACATTGTAATTATATAAGAAAAAAACATTTTAAATGTAAAACTAATCCCAAATATAAGTTCTCTTTTTCACTTGATGAGTATACTATTTTCTTTGTTCATTTTGCAAATTCCCATGAAATCAAATAGTAATTATTTATAGTAAAATTTATTATTTTTTTCCCTTATATTCTCTCACAATTTATTTTCTTGCTTGAATATGCAAAATGTTGTTATGTGATTAAATAGTTCAATCATACTAGTGATACTCATTAAAGGGGTCAAGTGAAGTGAAATCGTTTATTGATGTTTATGACAAGAACGAAAAAGAAGAGAAAGAATGAATTGAGACATCTAATCTGATGTCTTCCTGTTCGCCCTCTCTGATATATATATATATATAGAACCGCTATTTCTAATTGTACGTAGTGCTATGACGATTGTGTTTTAATGCTATTTTTAATGATAATGTATTTGACTAAAAATAGCAACACACTTTATATTAGCATTTGTGAAAATAATAGCATGTAATATTAAAAATAGCATCAAATACGGTTCTCACGGTTCTCACACCAGAACTAGTTTTTATTTGAACCAGTCCATATATATATATATATATATATATATATATGTGTGTGTGTGTGTGTGTGTGTGTGTGTGTGTGTGTGTGTGTGTACAATTAGGTTTTACAATAGCTTGATCCCTAAGAAACTAAGATAATAAGGGTACAATAGAAAATATACAATACTAAATACTAATTACATCAACACCCCTTCTCAAGTTGGAGCATGGGGATTTCGAATGCCCAACTTGCTAAGGAAAAAGTCGAACTTGCCCTTTCCAAGTGCCTTGGTAAAAGGATCAGCTAACTGAGATCGAGTGTTAACATAAGATGCCGAAACAAGGCCTTGAACAAGGGCATCACGAACAAAATGGCAATCCACCTCTATGTGTTTAGTCCGCTCATGAAAAACTGGATTAGCGGCAATATCCAAGGCCGCCTGACTATCACAATAGAGATGCATGGGCTGCGAATGGGGCACACCAAGGCTGTGCAGCAATCCTTTCAACCACTTAAGCTCAAAAATAACAGTAGCCATAGCCTGATACTCAGCCTCTGCAGAAGAACGTGCCACAGTGGGTTGTTTCTTGGTACGCCAAAAAATCGGAGACTGGCCCAACTGAACAAACCAGCTACTAAGAGACCGACGAGTAAGAGGACATGCAGCCCAATCAGAATCACACCACCCAGAGAGTTGAAGATCAGAGTCAGAACGAAACAGAATACCTTGCCTAGGGGAGCCCTTCAGGTATCGAACAACTCGCAGCGCAGCCTCCCAATGTGCTCGTCGAGGTTGATGCATAAACTGAGCAAGAACATGCACCAAGTAAGATAACTCAGGACGTGTAACAGCCAAATAAATTAAACGACCGACCAGGCGCCGATATGCCTCCGAGTCATCGAAGAAGGGACTAGCATCGTCAAGAAGATGATGATTATGTTCCAGCGGAAACTCCACCGGCTTAGCTCCCAACAAACCAACTTCGGAAATGATGTCCAAAGCATATTTTCGCTGGCACAAGAAGATGCCAGAAGTGTTGCGAGCCACCTCAATATCCAAAAGATATTTCAAGAAACCCAAATCCTTCATGTGGAAGCAGCGACTCAAGTAACTCTTAAAAGCCCCAATGGACACAGGATCATTGCCGGAAACAATAAGGTCATCAACATACACCAATACTTGCTGGTGTACAGACCCACGACGCAAGGTAAATAAAGAGTAGTCAGAGTGTGACTGAGAGAAACCATACTGACTAAGAGAAGTAGCCAGCTTCGCAAACCAGCACCGAGGAGCCTGCTTTAATCCATAGAGAGAGCGACGCAAACGACATACACGTCCATCATCACCAGTCCAAAAACCAGGAGGAAGCTTCATGTAGACCTCCTCCAAGTCACCATGAAGAAAGACATTGTAGACATCCATCTTACGAGCGGAAGCAACAACTAAGAAAGTCCATACTGTCACCATTTTAGCAACAGGGGCAAAAGTCTCATGATAATCAATCCCTTCAACTTTTACCTAGAATCACCAGTCGCGCTTTATAGCGCTCAACAGCGCCGTCCGAACGATATTTAATCTTGTAAATCCACTTACAACCGATAGCACGTTTCCCGGGAGGAAGAGAAACTACCCCCAAGTGCCATTATTCTCGAGAGCCTGGATTTCATTCTGCATGGCTGCTCGCCATCGACTATCAGTGGCTGCCTCAGCAAATGTCGAGGCTCGACAGCAGAAGCTAGAGCTGCAAAAAATGACTTGTGGACCGATGAGAGAGAATCACAACTAACATAATGTGCGATAGGATAAGGAGTACCTGAAGAAGGTGAGGAAGCAGACAGAGTAGCAGAGGGACCAGGGGGACAAACAGTAGCAGTAACAAAATCACGGAGGTGGCTCGAGGGATAGCGGGTGCGATGACCACGACCCCACATTGTCGGGCTCAGTAGGAACCGAAGGACCCCCCTGTCATTGGAAGGGCCAGAAGTGAGCGGTGGATCAGTCACAGCCGCAGGTGGCACTACAATCAAATGATCATCATCTGGATTCGACGCAGGAGGCCAAGTCACAACAGGAGGGACCGAAGTGGGTGAAGAGGCTGGAGGAGACTCTTCATAAGGAAATTCAGTCTCAACGAAATCAATGTCACGAGAAACTAAGAAAATTTTTCGATCCAAATCATAGACCCACCAGCCTTTCTGCCCTAGAGGATAGCCCACGAACACACCTTTATGATTGCGACTAGCAAATTTGTCGCCACGACGGTCCCGATTATACACATAACACAAACACCCAAAGACACGTAACTGAGAATAATCAGGCAACTTTCCATAGAGCATCTCATAGGAGTTCGATTATTCAAATGAGCAGCAGTAAGAACACAATAGCCCCAAAATTTAAGAGGCAGATGGGCTTGAAATCGCAACGCATGAGCCACATTAAGAATATGTTGATGTTTCCATTCAATACGGCCATTCTGCTGAGGGGTACCAACACAAGAGGTCTCATTCAAAATACCTTCACGACAAAAATAATCAGCCATACACATAAATTCAGTACCATTGTCACTGCGAACCACATGCACCAATGTATCAAATTGACGCTTAAGCATAGCAAAAAAAATCATTAAGACAGAAGACACTTCAGTTTTATCACCAAGTAGATAAATCCAAACACCACGAGAATAATCATCAACAACGGCCAAGAAATAACGAGATCCACAAAAGGTAGGAACCCGATAGGGCCCCCACAAGTCACAATGTACCAAATGAAAAATACCACTACTGACAGTATGACTAAGAGAAAAACTGTCCTTTGTCTGTTTGGACCGAAAGCAAACATCACATGACTTATTCAAAACAGAAGACTGAGAATCAATAAAAGACAAATGTGACAAAACACGATTCGATGGATGTCCCAACCGTTGATACCATAAATCAGAAGAAACCTTCACTACTCGAGAAGACACTACTGAAACTGTCCCCCAGAAAAAATAGAGTCTCTCTATCTGCTCATTAGCTCCAGTCACCATCTTCGAAGTGCAATCATGAACGACACAAAACTTGTTGGTAAAATAGGCGGTACAGCCAGACTTATCCAACAACTGGAACAAGGATATCAAACTACACTGTAAACTGGGTACAAATAAGACATCATGTAAAACAATAGAGGACCCCAAATAAACAGTGCCCAATTTACTGGCTGATGCCAAGGATCCATTGGGTAACTAAACAAGAAGAGCAGGTATATCACGAACATCACACAAACATTCTGAGAAACCGATATGATGAGAAGCACCACAATCATACATCCAATCATATAAACTTCGCTTACGAGACGACTTACTGTTCTGTTTAGCAGAGTTAACCAAATGAACAAGCTGAATCCATTGTTCATCACTCAATCCACTGATAACACGATCGAAGGAGCTAAGTCCCGCATTTGAGGAGGTCCCAACTTGCATGGCGGCGGCGGAAACGTTTGCTTGGGCAGGAGCACCCCCGCCACGACCGCCACGGCCGCGCTTACCACCTCGGCGGCCATCACCACCACGGGGGTATCATTCTGGATAACTGAGAACCTCTAAACAGCTGGCCGCGAGATGTCCGCTTTTCCCGCAGTTGTAACAGACACGCTGCCGACCTCCGTCGTCGTTTGGAACACCGCCGCTGCCAGGCTGATCGGGCTTAGAGCCAGACATCTGTAGTGAGAAGCCCGCCGCTATGAACGCATGAGAAGAGCCATGACCGTCACGCCCTCCGCCTGTGTGTCCGTCACCAGTCCGTATGCTATGGGCAATATCCTGTCCGCGAGAAAGAGCGGATGGACCTGTGCGGATGGTAAAGCCAGCAATCGATTCTATGGTATCTTCGACGAGGGAGATGGTTCGCATCCTCTCTTCCTAGATGCAAGTAGAATAAACCCGATTTAATGTCGGGAGTGGTTCCTGGGCCAATAAATTCGAACGAGTAGCGCCATAGAGGGTTGCGTCTAGTCCCTTTAGAAATTGATGAACTCTTTCACTTTCATATTTACGATCCCATTCGGCTTTCAAATTGCACTCACAAAGGCCACAACAGCACATGGGGGGTTTCTCATAATCAGCTAATTCTTCCCAAAGTCTGGTGATCTTACCGTAGTATGCTTCAATACTCAAACCCTTCTGCTTACAAGCCGCCAGATCCAATTTGAGTTGTTGAATTCGAGGACCTTTTTTCATTGTAAATCGTTCCTTCAAAGAGCACCATAAATCTGCCGCAAGTTCCGGCTCCACCACAGACGATCGGAGCATGGCATCAATACTGTTCATAAGCCACGATAGCAAAAGGGCATTGTTAGCTTGCCAATCTTCAAACAAATCGGAGTCAAGAGCTGGCCGCACGATTGAACCATCTAAAAATCCAAACTTCTTGCGTGCACGAAGCAGTGCGGATGGTACGGGACCATTCTTCATAATTGATGTCTCCCTTTAATTGAACTTGAGTGATCAAAAGGCCCGGATTGTCGCTCGAAGTGATGTCGTATGGAAAGATCGTTTTTTTGGGAATAGCAGCCAAGCCTGAGCCTTCACCGGACATAGCGATGTCAGTAGAGAGGAGAACTAACGAAGAGAAAAAAAAAATATTATCCTGCTCTAGATACCATGACAAGAACGAAAAAGAAGAGAGAATGAATTGAGACATCTGATCTGATGTCTTGCGGCTCGCCCTCTCTGATATATATATATATATGTAGGAAAATTCTCACATGCCCACAGTGGGCACAGTTAGGTTTTACAATAGTTTGGTCCCTAAGAAACTAAGATAATAAGAGTATAGAAAATATACAATACTAAATACTAATTACATCAACAGTTTATTCAATTTATGTTGACATATGGTTCTTAAGTGTTGAAAGTCAGGTAATTAATATTTTACCCATAAAATTTTATTCCAATGCAATAGATTCCAATGAATGCATGCTATATGCTCAATTGCTCAAGTGAGTAAATATTTGAAACTTTTTTTTTTTTAAACCGCGGAAATGGTATGTTATCTTTTTATGTGTAATTGTTAAGATGTTATTCAAATTTTATCCCAAAATTTGGTTACTATTTTATTTTCCATTCACTATATTTCTGTTATTGTTGTATAGTAGTATAATGATATTGTTTTACAAATTTAAAATGTCTACAAATTAAAAGCAACCAACTAAATACAATTCGGCGACCTTAAATTTGTTAGGACCGGCCTCGAGAAAATGTTGTCGATTTCTTTCAATAAATTTATTGTTGTTTGTAGTACTTTGAGGCATGCTTTATTTGTATGCACAATTCGAATTGTGCCCGAAAAAACATATTTAGTGTTTGCAAAACATATTGAACTAGTTTATTTTCAAAGTTCACAAGAGTCCCGCTATTCTTATAATGTTTTTTTTTTTTTGATCGCTT